AAAAAAAAAACCAAAAAATAAATAAATAAAATAAAAAACAAACAAACAAAAAAAGTATCTAATGTCACAGTGTCATGATGAAAACAGTTGTGATCTCACAGACTCCCCCAGAAGGACCTCAGGGCTGTCCATCCATAAACACACTTTGAGAACCACTGATTGACACGATCTGAAGTGGGGAGAAAGGTCTCCTCCTGCCCTGACTTGAGCAGTTGTCCATCATCCTGCAGCTAACAGCCTTGGGAAGAGTAAGCTAGCTTTTTAGGACAGCAGGTGGTGGTAGAGGGAGTTTTCTCTTTGTAGTGACTGTTCAACCACGGCCCAGAAGCCGTTCATCCCATGTGAGTGGCACTTCGCCCCATGTGAGTGGCACGTACCCAGCCAATGACCGACTGGATCACCCCAGGAATGTTGTATTCCTGCAGGCGAAACAGGTCCGAAGGCTCACAGTCCACAGTAAAGCTGTTGGTATCGTTGTTGTACTCGACAGGGCAGACGAAGCATCTGTACCCAGACATCACGTAGGACAGCTGAGGAGGAAGAATAGTCAGGTAAAGAGACAAGTTCCAGCCATCCAGCCCGGACGGCTGACACCTGGTTTGGCCACGTTCCTCGCCGCGTCTAGCACCCCACTAACTGCACGATTTGTGCTGAATCAAGAGGTTCATGTTTTACCATGAATGTATTTTACTTGAATTAAAATAATAATAATAATAATAAGGCTTACTGCCCACTGAGGTCTCACACACAGGTGCCCAAACAATCAGTCCTTGAAAGAATCCAGCAGAGACCTAAAAGAATTTGGCAAAGAAAGGCCAGGTGTGGTGGCTCATGCCTACAGTCTTCGAACTTTTGGCTGAGGCTGAGGTGAGAGGATCACTTGAGAGCAGGAGTTTGAGACCAGCCTGAGCAACATGGTGAGACCTCATCCCTACCAAAAAAAAAATTTTAAACACAAAAATTAGCAGGATGTAGTAGCATGCACCTCTAGTCCCAGCTACTCGGGAGGCTGAGACAGAAGGTTCACTTGAGCCCAGGAGTTGGAGGCTGCAGTGAGCTGTGATGATACCACTGCACTCTAGCCCAGGCAAAAGAGCAAGACCCTGTCTCAAAAATAAAAACAAAGAAAGAAAAGAATTACAAGAAGATTTTCTCCACCTGGGGAGCTATGGTCCACTTTGCTCAAGATCTCTTAACTGTGAGATAACCAGAGGCAGGAGATGGGAGTGGTGTAGTGAGGGGCGGACACGGGCAGAAAGAAGGCTGGAAAGCAATGGTGCTGGGGTAGTGTGGGGGAAGCAGTGAGGGGCAGCCAGACAGCACGGAAACAGGAAGACCGGCCAAGGGTCAGAGAAGGGAACTGTGCTCTCGAAAGGGCAGGAAGGTTGCCCACCTCTGGGCAGGGCACACACAGGAGAAAAATCTGGGCTGGGGGGGCACATCTCACCTCATCCCTTACTCTCAGTGCCCCTGCCCTGATGCTGGAACATCAATGTCTGACAAGAACGCTGCCTGGTGATGTCTCTGTGCCTGGGCATGAGAGGACATGCAAGGTGCACCAGCCCTGTCCCCATATGCCAAAACCCTGAGTAAAGAAGAGCCAGCCTGTGTCCCTCTTCAGGCAAGGCCAGCGTTTTCAGCAGAATGGGTCCTGGCCTTGGGAGACACTCTCTAGCTCTAGACAGGCCTTGGAAGGTGGTGTGAGGCCTCTGTCTACTCCCTCTACCCACAGCAAGAAGCCGCCACCTACCAGAAGGCCAAACACCACAGTAGCAAAGAAGCCCCCGATGAAGCCTTCCCAGGTCTTCTTCGGAGAGAGCTGTGGACAGAGAACAGGTTCTTAGCAAGGATGTGTCAGTAACGCCAACTGTGGGAAAACCATTACTCGTTTAAAATCTTCCTATCACAAAACCCACATCCTGTTTAACCACGCCACCTTCAAAATAAAATTCCCCCAAATTTTAGGGGAGGCGTGGTGGCTCACATCTGTAATCCTAGCACTCTGGGAGGCTGAGGAGGGTGGATTGCTTGAGCTCAGGAGTTTGAGATCAGCCTGAGCAAGAGCCAGACCCCTTCGCTACTAATACAAAAAATAAATAAATAAAATTCCCCCAAATATGGTTTCTTTGTTCCCTACCTTTGGCCCTTCCTTCAGACTCCCTTCAGTCAGTCATTCAATCATTATAAAACTATAGACTAAATGACAACACTCCAATCCAGATTAAAGCCCTGAAAGTATGCCTATACACATATAGTTTGTAAAAACATTTTCTTTTAGCTTTTTTTAATGAGCTTTCATTTGGCCTTTGGCTTAAAATTAATTTATGACTAGCCTTTCCCAAGGGTGACATGAAGACATGGTCGTTACGCACGGCTAGATCTCTTCCCTGTGTGAAGTGGAGCTACTCACACTGAAAGCACCACCCTCCCCTCCCCTCACAGTGATATTTCATGTTAGGAGAATTCATTTACCTTGATCAGTGGGGTCCGACCAAAGAAAAAGCCAAACATATAGGCCATGATGTCATTACAGATCACGCAAGAAATGGGGACAATGAACCTGGGAAAGAAACCAAAGGGAAGATCAACTAACTCTACAGAGACGATAGTGGCTCTGAGTCCACAAAACAATGCCAGTCACAAATGCCATGAAGGACTGTGCTTGTTGCCCCACTAGGGAGTAAGTTAAAAAGAAAAAAAATAGCAAGAAGCTTTACCTAATCCCTGGCATATTCAAACATTTACTGAATAACTACTGAGGCATTCTAGAAAATGCCTTTGGTTCTTTTTTAATGATAAAGTAGTATATGCACATAATAATATAGATTTAAATTATAAAAGAAAGAAAAAAGTCTCTCTTCATTCTTCTATCCCTATCTCCATTCCCCAAAATAACCACTTTTAATCATTTCTAATTTTTCTTCTTCTAGTAGTTAGGTCCACAATTATAAATAATACACTGTATGTCTATTTCATAATTGGCTCCTCATTTTACTGCTTATTACCAGCTCTTGTGAGCCCTACCTTCCCTAGGACAAGACTGAGAGCAAAACCCCAATACACACAGCTAGATTTTCTTCACTGCCCTTTGCCTGCGGGGCATCCCCCTCGCCCCTAACCGTGGTTTCCACATTTGCACCCCCTCTCCACTCACTGACACTTTTGTTTACAGCTCCTCTATTACACTATAGCATAATACTGTACACGGAAACCTCTATTTCCTGACCCATCAACTGCAGGCACTATTTTCTAACTTCCTGTCTGTCAAGAGAGAAACAGAGCATGGGAACCTCCTTATTCCATTCACTTCCCAAGCCCCCCAATATAATTTCCTTTGTAGATACTCTCTGCTCTGTGACTATATTTAAGTCTTCTAGGTTGAGTCTGAAATCAATTGTAGATTGATTTCAAAACCAACAATTATAGAGATTTTAATATATTCACTGTAGAACTGAGTGGTATGTCTGGGTCTGAAGATGAGGACTTAGCAGGTACAACTCTTCAAAAATCCCTTAAAAAAAAAAAAAAATTGGCCAGGCATGGTGGCTCACACCTGCAATCCTAACACTCTGGGAGGGTGAGGCAGGTAGATAGCTTGAGCTCAGGAGTTTGAGACCAGCTCCTAACAAGAATGTGAGACCCTGTCTCTACTTTAAAAAAAAAGAAAAGAAAAGAAAAGAAAAGAAAAACTAGCCAGGCATCATGCTGGTGCCTATAGTCCAAGCTACTCAGGAGGCTAAGGCAGGAGGCTCACCTGAGCCCAAGAGTTTCAGGTTGCTGTGAGCTACAATCCTACAGAACTGTACCCTGGGTGACAGTGACAGAGTGAGGCTCTGTCTCAAAAATAAATAAATAAAATAAAAATCCCACTACAAGAGAGTTACTTGCCTCCCCAGGCCATTGCAATTGGGTTTTTTCCTTTTATCTATGAAGTATGGAACATAAAATTGTTTTAAATACAATAATGCCTTAGGCTAATGTAAGCTAGTCTCCGTTCTAAGCACTTTCCATATATGTACTGGCTTACTCTCAGGTGGTGGGTACTGCTGCATCCTAACTCTGAGGTCTGGAAACAAAGACACATCTGGATCTTAACCACCGTCCTCGGGAACATCTCTCTCCGGTACACCAGGACACACTTTTCCCTTTTCTTCAAGACCCCCTAGTGCCTTCAGCTGGCCTGCTGATTTCTATCAATGCTGACAGACTTCCTGTTGATCCACTCCATCTCTGGAATAAAATCTACTCAGTACTAACAGTTTATTCTTTCGAGGCACTGTCAGGCTCTGTTTGCTAATGTTTTATTCAGAATGGCTTATATATGACCTTGAAAGAAATCGGCTTATCATTCTTGTCTCTCCCTCCTCATCAGCTTGGGTATAAGGGTTAGATGAACTCAGCTGTCAACCCATCTGGGCCTGTTTCTTTTTCCAGGTGTGGAATCTTACATAATTTTCAAAACTCTTTTTACAGTTACTGATTTATTCAAGTTTCCTTATTCATGATTTTCAGTATACATTTTCCCAGGAAATCATGATTATTTCCTCTAGTTTTCAAATTAGTTGCCATACATGGTGCACTGTCACACAGCTGTTAGTCTAGAGCAGGGGTTGTCTGAGGGTGGGTCCTGTCTCGCAGCATCACATCACCTGGGAACGTACAAGAAATTCAAATTCTCAGGCCCTCCCCCAGATCTACGAAATCAGAAATTCAGGGGTGGATCCAGCAATCTGTACCTAGGCTTGCAAGAGACCCTAATGTGTTCATGCTGAGAACCCCTGGCTTAGAAGATAAGGCAGGGGCTCTCAGCCTACCTGCTCATGAGGAACACCCACAAAATAAAACAGAAAATCTCCCACGCCCTCGACGTCACTCACCAGATCATTCCTTCAAACAGGTTGTGGATAACAAGATGTGACTGGGTTACAACAATCAGTAATGTTACGTGAGTCCAGCCAAACTGCAAAAGAAGAAAAATCAATGCTACCTTCAGTTTACCTTGAAAGTAACTTCATAGACCAATCAATACCAAATAGAAAATTGCTAAGAAACAGGTAGGAAAATATCTGCTTTTGTATCTGACTTACTGAAAGTGAAAAGATACAGAAAAGGCTTCTGGGGGTAACACTCTGTGGCCCCTCCCCCCTTATCTATGAGTCCCAACCCAAAGAAGGGCCCACTAGTGAGAGAGCCCTCTCTGCTCTAAGAGCCTGGGTACTTTTCCTTTTCTTACTGTTTATGCGGTGCCTGGGGTACTCAGAGAGAAAGTGAGGCAGGGAATGACTGGCAGCACGTGATATACCAGCCACATTATCTGTGGGCAGCGTCTGAAGCTTCAGTTTGAGCCTTATGTAGAGCCCAGAGAAGAGACTACCCAGGCATGAGTTAAGTAACAGTGACTGGCTTGAGATCAATGTAGAGCTGCCCACCCTAAGTGGGTGCTCTTCCTTCTAGATGCACACAGAACAGACCATGCTCCAGAGTTTTAATTTAACCCAGAAAGCAGCAAAGGCCTGTTGAATTTCTGTAGAACTTCGTTTAAACCAAGAATTCTCTCTCATGCACACATTCCTCTTTTTTTTTTTTTTTTTAAACAGAGCCTCAAGCTATCCCCCTGGGTAGAGTGCTGTGGCATCACAGCTCACAGCAACCTCCAACTCCTGGGCTCAAGTGAGTCTCCTGCCTCAGCCTCCCAAGTAGCTGGGACCACAGGCGCCCGCCACAGCGCCTGGCTATTTTTTGGTTGCAGCCATCATTGTTGTTTGGTGGGCCCGGGCTGGATTTGAACCCACCACCTTAGGTGTACGTGGCTGGCGCCTTAGCCACTTGAGCCACAGGCGCCGAGCCACACACATTCCTCTTACCATGTAGAACTGCAGTCGATAATGCTTCTTGACCAGACTCAGTACAAACATGCAGAATCCTAGTTGGAAGGGAGAAAAAAAGGACAAGATGAACTGCATGCTGCATTTATCTTTGTCCTAGTCATTTCCTTTAGCTGCTTTAAGTGGTTCTTTGGCTAATTTCTTCCCAGCAGCTAAACAGCACACAATTTCAAAGCCCAGGGGAGGAAAACTAGTTATCCAGAGGAACAGTCATAAGGAAAAAATAACTACTCCAAGACAATACAAGGAAGGCGATATTTTATTATCTTGCAGACCACACTCCATTTAGGACACTGTTCATGAGACAGAAATGTTTTGTTCCTAGAGCAGGGATCAGCAAACAGTGGTCAGGTAAGCAGCTTATTTTTATAAATAAAGTTTTATTGGAACCCAGTCATGCCCATTTGTTTACATATTGTCTATAGATTCTTTGAGCTACAATGGTAGAACTGAGCATAGTCATGTGGCAAATAACAACACTGTGGTCAATAACAGACCAGGGGTCCATGGATTATAATGTCATTTTTACTAAAGCTTTCCTATGTTTCAATGCCCAGGTACCATTGTGTCACAATTGCCTAGAGTACTCAGTACAGTAACATGCTATACAGATTTATAGCCTAGGAGCAAGGGGCTATACCATATAGCTGGGGTGTGTGGTAGACTGTCCCGTCTAGGTCTGTGAAAGTACACTCTATGCAGTTCCTGCAACAACAAAACTGTCGAATCCATTCTCAGAACATATCTCTATCATTAAGTGATGTATGACTATGGTTGCAACAGAGACCCTATGCCTGCCAAAACCTAAAATATTTACTAACTGGGACCTTAAAAAACAGTGACTCATGCCTATAATCCTAGTACGTGGGGAGGCCAAGGCAAGAGGAATGCTTCTGGCCAGGAGTTTAAGACCTGCCTGGGCAACATAGTGAGAACCTGTCTACAAAACACAGAAAAGTTAACTGGGCATGGTGGTGCACACCTATGGTCCCAGCTACTTGGGAGGCTGAGGTAGGAGGATCACTTGAGCCCAGTCAGGAGTCTGAGGTTGCAGTGAGTTATGATGATGCCACTGCTCTATAGCCCAGATAACAGAGTATGAGATTCTGTCTCAGAAAAAAAAAAAAAAAAAGAAGAAGAAGAAAAAAAGAAAGAAAGAAAGAAAAAGTTTTCTAACCCCTGTCCTAGAGAATAGGGTTGGGCAAGGAGAGATCCACTTGGTACAGAGTCAACATCAACCTTCCATCTCTCTCATGATGACCTAGATCAGTGGTTCTCAACCTTCCTAATGCTGCGGCCCTTCAATACAGTTCCTGTGGGTCGCGACAGGAGAACTGTCGACCTAGATGGTAGTAAAACTGTCGTTGAGAACCACTGACCTAGATGGTAGTAAAAAATGTCTGCAGCCCCCTTCTCTGGGAGAGAAAGAGACCTTTACCCAAATGTGTGCTGAGCCCGTCATTCTTCCAGAACCCTGCATCCCCCACAGGAGGCTGCTTTCAGGTTCCCTGAGTATCCTCAGCAGCAGTGGACTCCTGGGCAATACGTTTCATATATTAATAGTCAGGTGTCATTCACAGAGCTTTACGGCTGTCCAAAAATCTGTTATCAGACTGATCAAAAATAGGTAAGACAGAAACTGGGATCAGAACAAATTTCTCATGTGCCTCAAACTGGCTTTGAAGGCAACTAGGAAAACCTTTAGTCTTATTAGAATTAGTGCATGGCCTTACCCAAGTTTACATTAATATAACACTTTAGTGTTTGTGAAGTCTGAGTTAATCTTCAAAATAGACCTGGTCTAGTTTCAGGTCTACATTACAAAAGAACTGAGACTTGGAAAGATTAAGTTCCTACCCCCCTGAGGTTGCAAAGTCTTTTAAAGCCCAAATCTCGTAAACCTGCCACCACACTGCGAAGTCCGAAGTCTCTCAAGAGGCTCCCCTAAGATGATTCTGCTAACAAAGGGAAGGTCCCCAGGGATCTGTCTCCGTCCCATTGCAGAATCTCTGCCCACAGGGGAGCCAGGACAGAATCAAGCTGTGCCGTCTTTCAAAAGAGACTGGAACATGAAGATGCAGTCCCCCACAACTGCCTGAGCCAGTGAGACTCTATTTCTCTTAGTAATGAGCTGCCACAGCTCAACCTAGGACAGAGCTGTCAACTCTGCTCCCCTGCATGGTCAGAGTTAATGCCACAAAACTTTAACCAAAACATTCCTCAATGGCTGACATGAGAACTGGTGAACCCCTCACTCACGCATACCTGTTAGATAGAGAGTAAAGGAAATGAACCGGTGGTATTTACTGAGGATCCGCAAAGGCTCCTCTCTCTGGACCAGGGTGAAGAAGTAATCCGTCACTGTCTCACCGTAGAAGAAATAGTTCACACACAGTAGAAAGTACCTATAAACAAAGATAGGTCAGTGCTGCACACCCGGCCTCTCCTTCATAGCCAGGCAGTCAGACAGCCCTGAGGAGAGGACAGACAGCTGCTGACCTTCCCACCCACAAGACCCCCGGGGCAGCTTGCGGAGGGACAAGCAAACATCTAGGTTTCCTGCTCCTCTGATGACACTGTAGGTGAGATGTTTATCTAGAAATTAGTGGCAGCTTTGAATACTCTCCATTCAGCGCAAACTTGGGACTCAGTTTTTGTCCTTGTGTAGCATTTCCTTACCTAATCTAAGGCCACCTGGACCATAAGAAGACCCCCCCAAAACACACCTCATCCTGCCTCTCAGTCTTATTTCCACCCTTCCACAGGAACCCTCCCCTCCTGTCAAAACAGCTTATTCCAGCCTGCCTCTTACTGCGTTGCTGCTGCCTTTTTTTCCTGCCTGGAATGTTGTCTTCACTTATTCATTTTTTTCATTCATTGCTCAAATATCATTTTCTTCATAAAATCTTCTCTCACCTAACACGATATGTGCCTCTCCCTGTATTGTTTTTTTTTTTTTTTTTGAGACAGAGTCTCAATTTGTCACTCTGGGTTGAGTGCTGTGGTGTCATAGCTCACAGCAACCTCAGACTCTTGGGCTCCAGAGATTCTCTTGCCTCAGCCTCCCGAGTAGCTCGGACTATGTGCCTGCCACAACACAGGCTAGTTTTTCCATTTGTAGTAGAGACAGGGTGTCACTCTGGCTCAGACTGGTCTCGAACTCCTGAGCTCAAGCAATCCACCTGCCTTGGCCTCCCAGAGTGCTGGGATTACAGGCATGAGCCACTGCGCCCAGCTCCCTGCATTTATTCCTATGGCAAGTAGTCTGCTCCTTTCACTAACTACGCTTCATTTCAGAGCATCTCCTCTGTGAAGCCTAGCTCTGGCACGAAGCCATTCCCCAGCGCTAACCCTTCACTTGTTTACACCCTCTCTCTTCACCTGGCCTTCCCTGAGGGGAGAGACTATGGCTCTATCCCTTTACAGCCACCTGCATGGTGAGGATGAGGTCATGCAGTCACCACACCAAACCCTCAGCGAGGATCCTGAGATAGGGAAGAGACTAGAGGGCTTCTCCTTTCCATTTTTTTTTTAATTGTAAAGTTCAAAAACTCACATATTAGGTTTATTTTCTATTACAAAGAAAAAACTTCCTTTGGAAAGTGACCTTTAGAAGGAAAGTCAGGGGTCAGACCTTCTGACTATGTTAATAAAACTCAAAACACTGCTTTCCAACTAGTAAACACCCACAAAAGAGACCTACATCTTAACCCAGGCGGCAGTCACAGGGCCTCCTGGTGGCTGGGAGGCAGCCTGTGCTGCTAGGTGATGGGGAAGCACCTTGGGAAGGAGATGCCAACCTAAATCTGAGCAAGTCGGCTTTCCCGACCATGACCAAGTAACTGGGCACAAAACATTACTCTCTGGTCCGCTGAGTCACAGACTCAATTCCTGGGTCCATGCACATGGGGTGAGAAGGTCCATATTTGCTACAGATCTTGGTACTGTGCAATACTCTGAATGTCATGACCTGGGAATACTCTGGCCAGAAGGGGTCTCAGACATCATCTGCACTACAGGTTTTTGTTTTGCTTTAAGGCAGCCAAGCCCTTTCCAAGGAGGAGAAAGCAGAGTTTCTTGGAGAAGCCCAGATCCTGCACATTCAGTCTCACTCCTGCCCACTCTGGCACCCCAGGCACATCCGAGGAACTAGGGCTCCTACACTACAGTTTGGAAACTACTAAGGCTCAACCATCTGTTTTAGAGATGAAGAAACCAGGTTCCCCAGTTAGCAACACCAGAACCTGACAACTCCCAGGCTACTCTAGTGGGATGCTGGGCTAAAGCATTTTTCAGCATGAAAAATGCACTGACCTAGAAAAGGGGGCCACTGTGCAGAGCCTAAGGAACCCAGAAACCAAGAAAAACACAGCTATAGATGCAGCTGATCTGGTTTCTTTCGAGGAAGATTCCAGATCCCTAGTAACTACTCAAGACTCTTCAAAGGGCAGTCACACGGTGTAACAGATGAAATAGTCTCAAAAGTGATGGGCAAGTCTGTGGCCATCACTCCACTTCCTACCCACCATCACTGTATATACCTGCCATAAAACACACACTCAATACATACTCAAATCTGTTAAGGGTCCTGTGGGACTGGAGGGCTTACCAGCTGAGGGTCCTGAACCAGGGCAAGTCATAGGAGTGGTAGACGTTGTAGCCAATAGTGATGATCTCATGGAAACACTTAATCTGAACACACATCACCTGTAGACAGAAGAATTAGAATACTCCTTGATTCCCCAATTCTGTTTTTATCCTTTCTTTCTTTCTTTTTTTTTCTTAAGACACAGAGCCTTGGTATGTTGCCCAAGCTAGTCTGAAACTCCTAGGCTCAAGTGATCCTCCTGCCTCAGCTTCCCAGAGTGCTGGAATTACAGGGATGAGCCTCTGTGCAGGCTGATGACCCAACTCTTAGTGATCTTTGGAAAGAGAAAACATGTCATGAGCCTTCAATAAAAAATACTGTATTTAGGAAAAATATCAAGTCTACCGTGGTCCTGCTCACCTCTTCCTCACTCTCTCACACCATCCCATATTGCCATGTCGCATTTCTCACAGGAAAATGCACACCCTGATGTTTCTAAATAACTGTTCATTCTAGAACCTCCCAGGACTCAATCAATCTCTTCCCTTTGACTTTGAATATAATGCTTTGCTCAGCACTCAGCTGTTGGTAATCTGACCCTGCCTGTGACAGCAGGAAAACACAGAAGGCAGCTCTGTGGACTGTGATTTCTAAATGAAAGATCTAAGCCCATGAGGAACACCCCATGAAAACAGGAAACAAAGCCAGGAGGGACACAAAAACACAGCCAGGGTCACAGTTTAATCAAACATTTGGAATAATAAAGTTTTTTTACAAGACAGAGTCTCACTCTGTGGCCCAGACTAAAGTACCATGTGTCAGTCTAACTCTCAACAACCTCAATCTCCTGGACTCAAGCGATCCTCTTGCCTCAGCCTCCTGAGTAGCTAGGACTACAGGTGCTGCCACATGGCCTGGCTAGTTTTTCTGTTTTTAGTAGAAATGGGATCTCACTCTTACTCAGGCTGGTCTAGAACTTCTGAGCTCAAGTAATTCTCTTGCCTCAGCCTCCCTGAATGCTAGGATTACAGATGTGAGCCATCATAATAAAGTCAATTTTCCGTAATTATTTTATTTATTGTTTACTGAGTCTTACTTTGTTGCCCAGGGTAGTGCCGTGACTTCACAGCTCACAACAACTTCAAACTCTTGGAGTGAGCAGTTCTCTTGCCTCAGCCTCTCAAGCAGCTGGGAGTACAGGCACCCACTATAACACCCAGCTAGTTTTTCTATTTTTAGTAGAGACAGGGTCTCACTCTTGCTAGGGCAGGTCTTGAACTCCTCAGCTCAAGCAATCTACCCACCTCAACCTCCCAGAGTGCTAGGATTACAGGTATGAGCCACTGCACCTG